TGTTGGTCATGCTTTCTACTTCCTCAGAGACATTTGCATCATCAATGCCCATGCTCTCATAAAGTGGAACCATAGGATATTGTCCAACATAACCATGATAGGGCTTCTTAGACATGTTGAGCATCTTTGTTTGTAGAGGGAGATCAAAGAGCTCTTCAATTGTAGCAAACAAGGCTTTGAGAAGGTCTGCAGGAACTTTATCAAAAATTGCTTCAAAGCAACCATACTCTACTAGAGCATTGTGGACTTGGGATTTCACTGCCTCCCACTCAGGACTGTTGACTTCCAACTTGAGGTTATTAAAGTCAATGAAAGGAAGCTTTAGAGTGGTTTCTGAGCCCATATCTTCACTTTTCCTTCCCTAATTTGATTACAAGATTGGAGGATTATGGTTAATTTAAGCTGGGTTTGAACTCATGTTGATCAAGTTATATAGTAGATATGCAATGACAACATTGATAATTTTAAAATATTTATTTATTTTCTAAAAATATTTATTTCATTCTCCCATATACGACTAAAGTATATGTCGTAGAGATTCCATGGTCACATAAGCAAAATATATATTCTTCGGATTTGAACCAAGCAGAGTTACTTAGCTTGGCAAACAAAATTATTCAGGTTTTGCCTCTCTTTTCGTCTTATTTTGTGTCTCATATAATTGATGTCGAAGGTAAAAGAAAAAAAAATTAGATATCAAGAGCAACTTTATTGTATTATAAACAATTGAAAAAGACTTATAGACAGAGAGGTTGATCTTTCTTTTCTTTTTGGCATTGAAACTTTTTTATGCCTAAAGAAGTTGCAGATATTTGTGTTTGCGCAATATATACAAGTGATTCTTATTTCTATGTATTTCAAATATATATTATGTTAATTAGTTTTAACTTTTAACATATATTGATAAAGTATTAAATAACTGTGTAATAACGTAAAATTTTATAGATATTGTCTCTATCTATGATAGAAATTTTTAATTTTATGATTTTGATTTAATTGGTGTCTCTTCTCTCTCTCTTTATATATATATATATATATATATATATATATATATATATATATATATATATATATAGATAGATAGATAGATAGATAGATATATTATTTATTAGTTGATTCATTTTCATTTTCATTTTCAATAATAATAATTTATTTAAGTTAATCCTTTGATGACACTGAATTATGGATGTAAATCTTTGGAAGTTTTAGGACTTGAGAATCAAAGATTGATTGGTGGAGGACCATTTAGTAAAATATATATATAAAAAAAAAAATTAAAGAAAGCCAACCATACTTCTGTTGGATCTTTGATATCATGATGTATTCATTTACAGGTTGCGTCTGGACCATTTGAAATTAATCAATTTCCGTGCAATTATTTTCATTAGATAATGGTGTTAGACAACATAATTTATTTATTTTCTTTTAATAAATAGACAACATAATTTTAACTTATATAACAATTGCGCAAAGAATAATTGCGGTACCACACAATGTGTCACAGTCCATGTTCCGTGTCTCTACCCAACGAATGAAGTTGGATAGATTTGTTCATGGATTCAGAGTTTGAATATGGTTTCTAAAAATAATTTTTTGGTTTTCATAATAAAAAAATAAATAAAATTTGTTTAATAAGATCTGTTTTGTAAAAAAAATATTAAAACGTGTATCTGTTTTTTTGTTTTTTGAATCAAAGTTAGAGAATATGTCTGATTTATTTTTATTTTGTATTTTAACTTTTAACTTTCAAAACAAGAAAAATACAGAAAATACTTGTGTCCATAACAAGGGATAGGATATTGTGACAACCAAATAATGTTACTACCAATGTTACTACCACATCTTAACCGTTGATTTTCGTCAATCAACGGTTATCATTTATTGCGAATTAATAATTAATTAATGAATTTGATTTGAAAAATGATAACCGTTGATTGGCGAAAATCAACGGTTAAGATGTGGTAGTAACATTGGTAGTAACATTATTTGGTTGTCACAATATCCTATCCCCCATAACAATACTAGGTTTATGTTAAAGTGTGTAAAATATGCTTAAAGTCATAGAGTTTAATCAAGCTTTTGAGAATAATCTTGGTTTGATGCCTCGGAGAGAATATGCGCAAGTGCCCGTTAGCTGGAACCCCCCAATGGAAGGCTGGATTAAGCTAAACACTGATGGTGCTGCAAGAGGTAACAATGGAGGGTCTACCTGTGGTGGTGTTCTCAGAGATGCGTCTGGTCACTGGATCCAAGGTTTTGCATATCATATTGGTCACTGTTCTGTGTTTGTGGCGGAGCTTTGGGGAGTTCTGAAAGGTTTGGAACTTGCCTAGGTTGGAGGTTGGAAACACATCATTATTGAAAGTGATTCAAGTTCTATTATCACTTTACTCACCAAACATGGAGGAGCAGTTCGAGAGCTACAACTGGCGGCTCGAATTTGAACATGGTTACAGAAAAATTAGGAGGTTCACTTATGCCACACATACAGGGAAACTAATGCTTGTGCAGACTGGCTTTCAAAGTTCCCACTCGATAACCATATGGAGGAGAATTTGTGTATTTTCCCAAATCCACCTCCTGCTATTCGTTTTCTATTTTTTGCTGATTTCATTTCTTCTTGTAAGTTTCATAATGTTTTGTTGTCTTAGCTTTTTGTAGGGTGTTTAACCCCTACAGACTACCCAAAAAAAAGTGTGTAAAATATACACATTTTGCAAACAACGAAATTCAAATTTGAGTCCCTTTGTTTGAAGATTGAAAGGTTTATCACTAAATCACTTTTTTTGGTTGCACGTAATGTTCATAATTTAATATTTATTATATATTATTTTAAAATCTAATTGAATCCAATTGAACTACTCACTCGGTACTTCGATGAGTCGATGACTGGTCTAAATTTTAAAACACTAATTCAGACTAAGGTTTACACTAAACGAAGTACAAGAATAAATAGGTTCAAATATGGTATATACTTCAGGTTCCTAAAGATAAATAAACCCTTGAAAGAAAATAGTATGAGTATCAAAATGATTATAACAACAATCTTGTACAGAATATCTCTCTAACACATAGACATGCATTAAGAAATCCTCGTATGGCCTGGAAAATATTTCCCAAGTAACACAACTTTAGTTGAGTGGTATGGTACGTGCACATGCCTATGCGTAAGAAGCGTTACAAGCTACAGGGCCCTCCAAATGCCAATGGAGTCCAAAGTTACTTGTTGTCGAATATATATATATATATATATATATATATATATATATATATATATATATATATGATCGAAAATATAAGAATTATGTTGTAGGAATGATACTGTTTATTTTTGTATTATTTTTGTAACTATTTTTTAATTATATACTTTTAAAAATACATAATTAAAAATGAGCTATAAAATCTCTTGTAACAAAATATCCGATGCGATGCACTCATATATGATATTACCCATAAGCTTTTCTTTATTGTTCTTGCCGATCCATTATGGTCCTTGAGCCATTCACAGACACACTATGTGCTCCAATGACACGCGCGGTGCCCTATTCACTAGGCCCGGACGACTTTGAATAGGCTTAACTGTTTTAATGGCAAGGAACCAAACCAACGAATAAGCATACAAATTGAACGAGACGTTTTGTTAAGTTTGTATAAAGTTTGTCCATTATGATTGATTTATTTATAGGGAAAGTATGTGTTCTTTAAAAAAAACACGTATTTAGGTCATTTTAAAAAAAAGATAGTTATAAAAAAGTGTGGATCTTATTGAAAAAATAAAAATAAAAATATGAATTTCACTTTTTATGTCTACCTTTCTCCTAAAATAACTTAAGTGTATCCTTTAAAATGACACATAATTTTTCCTTTATTTAGTGATTGATATCATAAAAATTCTACATAGTCCGAGCAATTCTTGTCTTTCTGACAGGGACGTGATAAATTTATGAGTTTTTCTATTAAATACTCTTTTCTTTTCTTTTTTGGTTTATGAATGCGTATTATACCATGGGAAGTACTTCTAATTTTTCTTCTTTAAACCTCTGGTCTCCAATAAACCTGAGATTCAACCCCAAGTTCTTACACTAATCTGATAAGAAATTTTCACATGAAATCTTCAATATTCTATTTTTCAGCTTTGTCCAGAGGTGTTAAAGTAGGTTAGGACACGCGGATCAACCCACGACACGACATCAAAATTTGTGTTCGAGTTAATCCGTAAAAAAATTTATGTTGTATTCGTGTTGAGAAAAAATGACAAGCAAAAAATTTGTGTCATATCGTCTCAATAGGAATTTTATTCATATATTTTTTATTTTTTATAATTTTGACCCATTTTTTTATCAATTACCGTTTTAACCCATTTTAAACATCATTCGTGACGTGTCAACTCGCAAAAAATTTATATTGTGTTCATTTTGAAGATTTTGACACGAATAAAAATTTGTATCATGTTCCTATTGCATATATTCATTTTGTATCAAATTCGTGTCTCATCGTGACGATCCATTTTGACACCCTACCTTTGTCTATACTCCTTGTTGCAAAGAATAAGTGAACATGTTACGCCACACTTAATTTGACTTTATACTTTCATCATTTTCTCTTTTATTGGGTCTAATTAACATTGATATTTGAGTACCATCCAAATTAATTGAAAAGGCTATAATTCTTATTAAACACAAGATATGATTGATTACATAACAAATTGAAATCGTCGTCAAATCAACCAATTCTCCATTAGCAACTAGAGGCACATTAAAGGCTGAAATTATTTTATAATTTTCTTTCCCCGAATTATTGCCCATCTTCCTACCCATCTTGAGATAGAATTTTCTTGACAGGCCTACAACAGAGAGAGGGGGAGATAGGTAAGTATGTAAATAACCCTTTTCTTCAAAAAAATTATGATGAAATTATGAAGTAACCAGAAAAGCAAAGGCCTAAGCTTGTAATCGTAGTTGCTTGTTGGAAAAGACTAGAAATATTATTATTTTAGGATCATGGGTTCCCAAACAGCTTGCAAGGTTCCTGTTGTGGACTTCACTGATGAGAAGTTGAAGCCTGGTACAGAAACGTGGGCTTCAGCATGCCATGTGATTCGGAGTGCACTTGAGGATCATGGTTTTTTTTATGCTCTGTGTGATAAAGTTCCCATGGAGCTATACAACTCTGTTTTTACTCTAATGGAAGAACTATTTGATCTTCCATTGGAAACAAAAATGCAAAAGACCAGTGATAAGCCCTATCATGGTTATTATGGACAAAGTGTCCATGCTCCTCTATATGAATCCCAAGGAATCAATGATCCATTATCCATGGAAGGAGTTCAAAAGTTCACCAAACTTATGTGGCCATCAGGATATGATCATTTCTGGTACTGCTTTGAATTTAGTTATGTTCTTTATTATTATTATTATTATTTACATTCCTAATTATATATATGATATGTTTATATTATTGTTATTGACTGTGGTTTCTAATTTTCATATTGAGAATAGTGAGACACTCAATCTCTATGCAAAGCTGCTAATAGAATTAGACCATATCACTAAGCGAATGGTGTTTGATGGCTATGGTGTGGACCAAAGGCACTGTGATTCCCTACTTAAATCAACCAATTACATGCTTCGGAGCTTCAAATACAAACTGCCGCAGAAGGATGACAATAATTTGGGATTGCATGCTCACACGGACACTTCTTTCTTTACCATTTTGCATCAGAATAATGTAATTGGTTTGCAAGTAAAATTGAAAAATGGAGAGTGGATTGATGCTGATCCCTCACCCTTCATGTTTCTGATCCTGGCTGGCGATGCATTTAAGGTGGGTCATTTTTCACTTGTGCATCTTTGAGAACCTTTTGTTAGTGAAAATGTTTTGAATTATTGATATATTGATTCAGTTAACCATAAATCTTTATCTTACTTACTATTCAGTTAAAGTGTTCATGACTTTTAGAAACTGGGCTGATTTTATTAACTTAATGGAAAAAGAAATTTTCAATATAGATTTACAGAAAGGGACTCTTGTTTTCATGTCTTAGGTTTGGAGTAACGACAGGATACGATGTTGTGAACACCGAGTCATAATAAGTGCAAAGAAGGTAAGGTACTCAATGGGACTGTTTTCACTTGGCGATAAGATGGTTCAAACACAAGAAGAGTTAGTTGATGAAGAGCATCCAAGACGTTATAAGCCATTTGATCATTATGATTACCTACGTTTCTATGCCACAAAAAAGGCCTTAGAATCAGAGTGTCGAATCAAAGCATATTGTGGCATAGACTATGCTGATGAAAAGTGAAATTTATTGTGTTGAGTTCCTGTGTGCACATCCAGAACAAAACTGGGGTTTAATTTGTAACTTGTTTCCTTGTATGGTATTCCAATGTTTCCTGCTGGATACAAAGGTGCAGCTCGTGACATGGTCATCTTTTTTTGATTTTTTTCTTTTCTTTTCTGTTATGACACATAGCATGAATCTAGGCATAGCTAAGGTACTTTCTCTGCCTACTATATATCTCATGTTTTAGAATTATTCTCTTTCTGTGCCTTCTGATTAATTAGGAACCTGTCTCTTTCTTGTGTAGTATTAATTACAAATATTTAGTTGCATCCGATAAGGTTGTGTTACATGTTTTGGTTTTTCTATGTAGTGTTGTGGCCCGGCACCATCGAAAGAATGTCGTCTTATTTGTATACTTCATTCTATCAATAATTATTCCTACAAGAACCTTCCATGCACTTCCCAAGTGAATGCCCTACTCTACAAATCCAATTCTATACTCTCAAGTTGGATAACTGTTAGAAATATATAAAGCTATTAAAGAGGCATTCACTTAATAATTTAAACTTTTGAGTTGAATTGATTCTTTACATGATATCAGATCATCATCGGTGTCCTGGGTTCGATCATCGCATCCCTCACTCTACAAATCCAATTTAGATATATATAAAGCTATTAAAGAGGCATTCACTTAACAACTTAAATTTTTGAGTTGAATTGATTTTTTACATGGTATCAGATCCTCGGTGTTCTGGGTTCGATCCTCGCATCCTCCATTTTCTTTGTGAAATTTTTTAGCACATGTAGGCTTATATAAAATCATTAAAGAGGCGTTCAGTTAACATATATCAAAATTTTAATTAATCCGTCTTTCAAAATAATTCTCATTTAAGGTTTCGAATAAGACTTAAAAATGTCATAAAATTCTTTTAATTTTTAAAAAATATAATTTCATTATCCTCTTACACAATCAATGTTTAAATAAGATACCAAAAATAAGGATAAAATTAAAAAAAATAATGAATGACTTTTAAATTTTCTAAAGTGACAAATAACTTAAAATAAACCAAAGATCGGTTTGTTTTTTATTTCTTAAGAATTAATTTCACTTTCCTATTTTTAAAGTATTTGCACATGAAATGGAGAAAAAAAAATTGTCCAAACATATTTCATTTAAAAAACTGAAAAGGAAAAAATAGAAAATTCAATAGTAAATTAAGAGTTTAAAGTTAAAAAAACAGCATATGATTTAAAAATATAAAAATGCCACGTGTAAAAATAAAATTAGTAATAGGTAAATAATTGAAACAACGTTTGTTCACTCCTCACTTTGGAGAAAATTTAAAATGATGACCATTGAATGATGGGTGTTCTCTCTCATATGGACAAAAATATTTTCTAGTTTTATCCACACACAAAAAAAAATAAAATTCTCTTTTTGCTCTCCCGATTTGTGAGAAGGGACCACAAAAAAAGGGTGATCCAAGTGCACCAAAAATGATATCCTCACTTTGGTTTCATTCATGTTACAAAAATAAATAAATAATAATAATAAGAGGAAGAAGAAGAAAGAGAGTTATGCAAGAATTAAAAAATTAAGGACCTGTTTGGTATGATGAAGTGATGATGCTTCTTTTGTTTTCATTTGATTCAATGATATTCCATGATGCCTTATATTTGATATTATGCATATCGATTTTTTAATTTAATATATATAATAGGCATAATTTAAAAAAATATATATTGAAGATTTTTATTTCAACAAAATTAATATATTTTTGACTCATTGATATATTTTTATAAAAATTAATATCATATGACATATTTAGAAAAATTATATAAATTTTATATTAAAGGATATTTCTGTCAAAAATATTTACTTTTATCTTATCTAGTATTATACAGTGCATTATCAAATATTGGATAGTATTATTTTATACAATTCATTATCTTATACAATATCATACCAAACGCTGGAGAGTATTAAAATTTAATCAGGTCTTATACAATCAAATCTTATACTATCAAGTCTTATACTATCAGGCCTTATCATATCTTGTGTACCAAACGTGCCTTAAGGCACAACTGATTAGGTGAAGCTTGATTGACGACATATGCTGAATAGAATAAGGAAAGAGTTTTAGTTCGATTTTCATCAACTATACATTTGGAGAAGGGTGAAGATGACTAAGCCCCGACTAGAAATTAATATCATAATTAGAATTGGCAAAACGGGCCAATCCGGCTCGACCCGCATGCAACCCGAAAAGAATGAGCCGGGTTAGGGTTGACTCGAAAAAAAAAATGAGCCAGAAAACTCAACCCAACTCGATCCGAGTCGGGTTAGGGTTGGCTCGCAGGTTGGCTCAAAACTATGGCTTGTGGGTTGGCTTGAAAAAATAGTTCGCGAGTTGGCTCGCGGGTTAGCTCAAAAATTGCGATTTAAATGAACATGTAGTATTAATGCCCGAGCTATGTGGCTTCCATCAACTTAAACAAAGGGTTACAAAATGAGAAATAAAAGCAAAATATTCTAGTTTCAAATTTTCTTCACAACAAATTTGCACCAACATCAAAAAACAATCAGAGCCACTTGTTACCAAAGTAGGGTAAGATATTTGAACCAGACAGAGGCAGCACAACCTAACAATATAAAAATGGCAGGTAGAAGATTAGGGACTTAGATTTAGAGAAAGAAGAAAAATGATGACAACATGTGTGGGTTTTGTCTATTTTTGTATATTATATTTTGTATTTTTTTATAAAAAAAAAATTTCAACTCACAAACTGGCTCATTTGACCCGCGGGTTAGCTCGGGTTGACAGCTCATTTTTGCCAATCCAACCCAACTCATTTTTGATGAATTACGAGTCAACCTGACGGGTTCTCTCATTTTTGACAACCCTAATCCTGAAAATATTTAAGCTTGTTAGAATAATGGGATACCCACTGACCTAAAAAAGATAATTAACGTCGTTATACTCAAATATATATATATATATATATATATATATATATGAGGTAGGATCCTTTAACACCTCATCTAAAAGTCATTAGATCAAAAAAGATTAATGGTGTCACATGTTTACAAATCAGAGTCGTTGATTTTTTTTTTATCTAACGGCTCTTTGATGAGGTGTCAAACTTTAAATTTGACACCAGTGTCAAATGATCCTGCCTCTATATATATATATATATATATATATATATACACACACGTTAAGGCCCAAATTTTATTAGATGGGTTGGAGTGTCCTTTCAATTTTGGGCCCAGTATATTTCGTATTTTCCAAACCACTAACTTTTTTTTTTTTTTGGTACATAACCACTAACCTTTTAAATCCCGCAAAATTGATGGGAAATTTGAAACAGACTATAACAACCACCCCATCCTCACCTTCGCAAGTTGTCGTTCCCGGCGATTCGGTGAGTTCGACATCCAGTTAAGTTTATTATGTTTATAATCATACTTAGATTCAGTTTAGCATGCATAATTAGTTTTCTGAGTTTAGACCTAGTTTGCCACATTTATTTGCTAATATTACAACTGTATATATAGGGTGTGTTTCCAATTCTTGTTTGGTTGATCTATATTTTCATGTCATATGACCAAGAAATTAAGAATCATCATGCATGACAGCACTTTGCACTTCAAGGCGTGTTTGTGAAAAAGAAATAGCAAATTTTTCCTTATTTTGTGTTCTAATGACAAATTAATTTCTTATTTTCAAGTGCCTGATCGTTGAGAAGATATCACCGTGAGGATTTGATTACTATTTTTGCTGGTTGATGCGCCTTGTTTGCTTACTTTTGGCAGGTTTGTCTTTGTTTGCTTCCATTTATGTTATTCTGTGATTTGATGTTATTATTTGTGCTTTTGACATTTAGCATTTTACTGCTATATTTGGATTTGATATTACTGTATTCATGGATAATTCGAGGCAGGAGGCCTATTAGATTTGTGTTATGGGTAATATATCATTATATCATTGTTGAATGTTGACTTGTTGGATAATTTGATGCCTGAGACTTTTTGGATTTGTGTTACAGTACTATATCCTTGTTGACTTGTTGGATAATTAAGAGGCCCGAGGCTTATTTTATTTGTGTCATAGTGCTTGATTATTGGATAATTTGAGGCTTGTTATATTATCTTATTGTAGTGAATGTGTACTCAATTGTCTTGTAACAGTATAGTTATTGGCCTATTTAAAATGTAACACCCCGTTCTAGAACCGGTTTGTTAACATCGCCTTATGATATTAAGCGCAGTTACAATCACATGGGTTCAATTAAAATCCGGATAAATTTTTCATTTTAAAACGTACCGAACTTATAATACCCAATTTCGTGATCATAACCATATTACCTTGCGGAAACAGATAAATTAAGCTTAACATCATGTTCTTATTCCATTTTTAAATCATTAATTTACTTCTTATTTAGTTCACATCTTCTACTATATTGTAGGTTTCTTCATTAGCTACCTGTGGCTTCAAACCGTGCTCAAATCGGGGCACTGTAGCCCAAGTTAGGACAATTTGGAGCAACACAAGAGAGTGTTGGTCACAGGCCCAGCGCGCTTCAGCGCGCTACCGGGCGCTCAAGCACGCGCTATCGGGCGCTAAAGCCTCCATCTGGGCGCTTAAGCGCACGGAGGCAGTAAGCATCAGGCATTCCAGTGTGGAGGGGCGCTTAAGCGCGCAACAGGGTGCTCAGGCGCGCTATCCTGGGCGCTCAAGCTCCCACGGGGACGTTTTAGCGCGCAGGGACAAAAGCATCTCCTCCTTCAGTGACGAAGGGCGCTTAAGCGCGGACCAGGGCGCTCAAGCGCGCAACCCTGGGCGCTTAAGCCCCACCCTGGGCGCTAAAACACGAGGGGGCAGTAAGCCACCCAACTTTCTGCAGCAAGGGGCGCTTAAGCGCACGCCAGGGCGCTCCAGCGCGCAATCCTGGGCGCTTAAGCCCCCACTTGGGCGCTCCAGCGCGAGGAGGCAGAATGCATAGGCACTCGCAGGGGCAGCAGGGCGCTTGGGCGCGCTCCTGGGCGCTTAAGCGCGCTGCCAGGGAATTCCAATTCCCACATTTCTCAAGTCCAAGCCTAGGGGAAAATGCATCCCCATTACAAACCCCAAATGTCCATGCCCCAAAACTAAATCCTAGCACTCATCCAACCTCTCCTCATGAGATTTAGCTAGAATTTGGGCAACATGACCTTTGTTTTCTCATCGTTTACCAGTTTAAACAAAAGGGTACCTAATTGATTTTCAGCCCAACCAATTCAACAACTCAATACATAACAAGCATGCATATATTGAATTTCAAGTAGGCATCATTTACATTACATATCCTTTACAAATCAAAGAACTTAGCTTACAAAACACTATGATCATTCCCTTGGCTCCCATCAACAAAAGGTGTAACCAAAGGCATGAGCATAGGCTAAGTTCATCCAATGAATCAAGATATACAAATGATCATGGGCTTTCAAAATAAAATCCTATACATGTCAACTACAAAAGGCATGCATAAACTCAAAGAAGTGCCATATTTCATGCATAATCTAGGTATGGCCACTTGCCACCAGAGGCTCCTGCAGCATCCTTACCTGAAAGGGGGTCCCCACAACACGGGGTGAGATATACGAATATATCCAGTAAACCAGGGGTCCTTGGAGCATCTCTCCACCCCACAGTTCCATATCAGTGTAATAGCAATAACAATAATAATGCAGTAAATACATATCTATGCAAAGTGCAATACATCTCCAGGAGAAATCCCTCGAGCTCTCAAGCTGTCCTAAGGAAACTCAGATGCAAATAGTCCTACTGGCCAGCTAACTACCAAGTATGATTTACGCATCGTCATGCCACATACCAACATAGGGAAACACCATCCTATGCCACACCAAATGCATACACATACGTATAACAAAGCATTACACTATTTTATTGCATTTATATACACAATCACAACCTCCACCCTTTCAGGGCTTGGTAGAACAGTCAAGGGAATTACACCCAAGGTCCGAAGGCTTACCTCAATGCTTCAGTCAACCTTTGTTCTTCACCAACAGTTTCAGCAATCAACTTTTACAAACATACACCTACACATGGTGTAGTGCAATCAACACATTGCATCCAAGAGTATTTCACAATCAACCATCAAATGTTCAATTCAAAACACCACACAAGTGTGAGCTTACCAATTCCAATGAGCTATTCAAGCTCCATAGCTTGTTCCAATGGTTGATCACTCACGGTTGGTCCAAATGTCTCAATCCTAGACATCACAAGGATCCAATCAATCATTCAACTCACTAATTGTTCAACATGCTAGAATACTAACCAATCCAAGCATGAATTTTCCAATATTATGAACAATTATCAAATGACTATCTAGGCTCATTTCCACCGATTAAATGACATTCCTAGCATTTTCCATAACATGCTCTAAGCTCCATTCTTCCTAGAACATAGCTAATTCAACTACATTTCATAAAAATCCCAATTTACTATTCACAAACCCTAACTCATGCAAATTTCAAGGGATCATGAGGTTCAAGGGTTAGAATCTTACCACCAATGGTCACACAACCAAGGATTGATGGCTCCTCAAGCTTCAATGGAGGTAGAAACTCTCAAAACCCCAATTTTCACCAAAGGGCCGAATTTTTGAGAGGTAATATCTCTCTCCACAATGCTCCCCACTCAAAACAAAGCTAGGATTATGAAAGAGGGCGAGATTCTAAGCGATTTAGGCTTTTGAATCACCCAAAACCGTTGGGATTTGCTCTCTCTCTCTCTCTTTCCCTTTTCTTCTTCCCTCTCTTCTCCCTCTCTTCTCTTCTCCTTTCTGGTTCGACGGGTTGGGTGGGAAATGAGGGGTTTTTTTGGTGTTTTACCACTTAACATTGGTTAAGTGGTAACATGTGGGTATTGGTTCGTCTATCTATTCAACTCCAATAATTACCAAACTTTACCCAAAAGTCTGGAATATTATTCTAGGAATATTACTATTTTTATTTTTATATTTTGGGTACTTTTGCCAGTACCCATTTATACCCCTTAATTTTCACTGAGTACACTTTTTAACTCCAAAGTGACTCAGATTCATTTAATTAAGCCTTATACTTAATTTCACTCACTAAAACATGTTTAATTAATTAATTACACTTGATTTACTAATTAATTAAGATGGGCTATTATAGGCCTAGCTTGTTGTAATATTTAGAGGTCTATATGCTTATTTAAAAGTGCTAGCTCATTGGCCTCTGACCTTTTTAAAAGCCTTAATGCAGAGGATATCTTTAAATTAGCTTTTAGGTCAAGCCAAGCCTAAGCAAAAAAGGCTTTATCAAGTAATAGTTCAGGCCCGAGCCGTGGGTTTGAGAAATAGACAAGGTGAACTGAAGACTAGCTTAGTCCAGTGTTTCCGTGCCTACTTAATGGGACTATATGGATCTTTATGTGAAATCACACAAATATCAAAGAGCTTGTGAATGAAGACTATCCCTTGAAATTCAATTCGTTTCGGTTACCTTTATTTCTCTTAAAATCAGACAAAATGAAGAAGTGATTTATAGGCTTGCCTCAATATATTCTTTTACATTGATTGATAAATGAGTAACTCAGAAGTCATGTCTTGATGACATGCTTCTACATTTATAAAAGAATCTTCGGGCCTGTTTGGAGAACCTGGTAAAGAAAATAGGATAGGATAATTTATCATATCCTACTTTTATCTCTTCTTTGGTGGGTCAATAGGATATGGAGCACCTGATAAAGAAGATAGGATAGGATAACTTATCATATCTTACTTTTATCTCTTCTTTGGTGGGTCAATAGGATATGATTAGCTTATCCTATTGTCTCATTTTATCCTATCCAATACATGATTTCTTATCCTATGGGGGGAGCTGGGTTAGGATTCAACAAGATAGGATACCCATATTGGATACCCAATATATCCTCACGCACCCAATATATTTTTATTTATTGCATTATATTTTGTTTCTTCTTTCTCCTTTCTCTTTCTACATAATCTTATCAAATTGCTAATCAGGTGCTCATCAAACACAGGACATGATATAGGCTTATCAGTCCCATATCATATCCTACCCTTATCCTATCCTGTCCACCAAACGAGCCCTTCAAGTTGGAACTAGAGGGGAACTAAGCTTCCTAGGAAAATGCAGCATGAATATGATAGATATAAGTATTAATAGGGCACAAAATAGTAAAAAATCAAATTGTTTAAAGATGTGAAGAATCCTTGGACATGGATGAAAGAGTCTAATTTATCGCCTTTGGAAGTTGAAGACCTTGATTGAGACAGCAAAAATAAATGCAAAGAGCACTCCGGTCCCAAAAACCACAACTGCACAAACTCCTATAAAGTCATGCTTGAAGTCAAAATAATTTCTTATGAACTCTTGCACTGACATATTTTCTGATTCCATCATGTTGGTTATATCTCCATATTGTGATGCAACCAACCCATATATAGTCCAGGCCATAGGACATGCCCAGTAGTACCACCTCCACCATATAGGAATTCGCTGTTGTCAGAACGGTAAGAAAATGGAAAATAACAGTAAGCATCAACATAAATACATCTGTTGTATCCATGCATAGATATTATTCAATGCATTCAAAGGTTGGCAACACTTACAGGTCGTGGGATGACAAATCCTGAAAAGAGGTTCCAAATGGCATAAAATGCAGCAGCCACAATTGAAGCAACATGGTGATTTGGGGTAACTGCCACAGCCATCATGCCATAGAAGGTGAAGTAGCACAATGTGAAGTACATGAAAAACATATACCAAAAGAATTTCTCTGAAGTCCACTCAAATCCAATCATGGCATAAACTATGACACCATATGTTGCAGATTGGGCAAAAACATAAGGTAGCTCTATTATAACCTGTGGCAAAAGGGAATGAGTAGTGTTAACATGGATATATACGCAAACTTGTACAATTGCTTTTTGTGCGATGGTGATTTTATTACCTGTGCAAGTGCATAGGGTAAGGCAGAATACATTCCCGCAGATCTTTCTCTATAAAAGACAGTTCTTTCAACTGCTACCACTGATTGTACAGAGGCAGAATTCTGGATCCCAAGGAAGAGAACAGCATTATACATTGAACCGATGGAATTAAACAGGTCTTGTCTGTTTGAGCTGGAAGTCGCCAAAAGGAATTAAATTCAAGTGGAACAACAAAATTTACTAATTGATGTCTTATTTCTAAATTACTAAGGTTTGACTTACTGTTTGCTTCCGAGGTCCCAGAACATTGTTCCTAAAATCACGGCTATGATAGTAGTGGAGAAAAACCTCACAGCAGTGTATGGTGGATTGCGCCAATATGACCAATGTTGTTTCCATAAGCAAGCCAAGCATTGGACCAAAAGTGACTGGGAGTATTTAGTTGGGAAATGAAGATCCTTTGAACCAAGAGCTGGATTACTCTGTTCTGCTATAAGTCGCTTGTTTCTCCTGAAGAACAATGTACAACAATCTAAGACTTTTATGAATACGGTCATAGGTATTGTAGTTAATAAATTCATAACCTAACATATTAACTTACCTATATAGCTCAGAGTTCTTATATATCTCATGAAAATCAACACCTAAAGTAAGTTCTTGAGCTGAAGTTGTAACTTCCAACATCCAAGTTGCTGGGTTATACCCATCTTTGATTTTACTAACCCCATCAATGCTCTGGACAAAAGAAAATATTAGAAAAGAAGTGATTACCAAGAAGAATTATGGCTAAATAATATTGAATTTAAGTTGTATCCAACCTCAAAATACTTGATCAATTGATTAGAATGACGGCCCAATGGCCCAACATATATTTCTTGCCCTCCGCGCTTCATCAAGAATAACTAGAATCACATGTAACATGTTTCAGATTCAAGTCCAACAAAGGAAGAACTATAGAACACGTCATTTTATCATATCATCTCTCACCTCATCAAAAGCTTCAAATAAGTCAATGCTTGGCTGATGGATAGTGCAAACAACTGTTCTTCCCGTGTCAACAGTGTTTCTGACAGTTCTCATAACAATTGCTGCAGCTCTTGCATCTAATCCAGAAGTTGGTTCATCCATAAAAATTATGGATGGATTAGCCACTAATTCAACTGCAATAGTTAGCCTCTTGCGTTGTTCAGTTGAAAGACCATTTACACTTGGCAAACCAACCAGTGAGTTCCTCAACAGGTTCAGCTCCACGAGTTCCATGACTTCCTCAATGAACATCTACAACAATTTGTTTCCATGTTTAGGAAATCAGTTATCTCAATTAATGAACAGCTTAAACTTTGCAAATTAATTTGGACCTTACTAAATTAAGTAAAAAGGAAAACCATTAGGTGTCTTATGCTGCAAGTACTAACCTTCCTGGTATTGGAATCAACTTCTGCTGGTAAACGAAGCCATGCTGAGTAAAGCAAAGACTCATGGACAGTAACATGAGGAGAATGGATATCATTCTGCTCACAATAACCAGAGATCCGAGCAAATGTTTCTTGCTTTTTAGGATAGCCAGAAACTTTTATGCTTCCATCTATATACCCACCAGTTTTCCTACCAGCTAAAACATCCATCAAAGTAGTTTTGCCAGCTCCACTTACACCCATCAAGGCTGTAAGAACACCAGGCCTAAATGCACCACTAACACCTTTCAAAAGCACTAACTTGTCCTCCATTACACCTTGATCCTTCATTTCCTGTGAGTTGAAATCCCAAGAGTTAGGCTTAAAATTGTTTTGGACTAAAGCTGAGTTGAACTAAAAACACTATTAGAAACCCGAATGTTAATTATAACTTTAAAAATGACTTACCTGTGGCATGTCAACGGAGTATGAAATTTGATCAAAAGTGATACAATATGGTTCAAAAGGAAGAACCATTCCTCTTCTATCTCTCTTGCTGGAAACCACAATAGCATTAGCTCTTCCATATTTTTCTGCATGACAGTAGAAAAATATTTCAACATCTAAACGCATATTAGGAATCATTAACTAACTGACTCACACTCTTGAAAATAGTATGCATGCACTGAGTGTTCATAAGAGATATAAATAAGATGGATCACCTAGTTGCGGTAATTCAACTTCTCTGTCTCTTTCATTAGGCGTATTGCCTTCTAATTCCTCAGTTATTGTTGCCTGTGGCTTATCAAATGCTGCAAAAGTTATGTACATTTGTTAATAAACTTCTGCATCGCCACAAGAATCTTAAATAACCAAACGTCAAGATACTTACGATTGAGGTAAGTGAGAGCCACAGTGTATATAATGTTGAAAAGGAACATAAATCCAATCAATGCTCCAATCCCTATCCAATACCAATATGCATGTGTGAAGAACCCACGGGACTCCAAAACTTGAATTCCCAGTGTCACATTTGAATTTGGGGTTAACTGTAATTGAAAAGCAAATGAGTTAGGTATACACATTTCTGAACTGAAAGTAAATTAAAGTTGCAAAGATTAAGAAATTACATGGTTCCAACTATTTCCAAGGAATTCATTCACCATTATAGCATTTTGCCCATACATTAAAGGTGAAATCCAGTAACCCCAAATCCACCATCTCTTTATATCCTCTGTTTCGTTGCCAATAAAATGATAGAAGCATTAATATCAAATTCTATCATGTGATAAATGCAACAAATTTGTTACATCTGTTGCTTGCACTCACTTCTTGACAGAATAAAGCCGCCTAATGCAAAAAGTATGAGAAGTGCAAAGGACCCAAATGTGTTAGCCACAGTCATGTCCCTTCCCAATGATGCAATAGCTCGAAACAATCCAGAAGCCATTTGGTTAATCAATACTAGCACAAGGTACTGCTTTAACAATCTGCATAAAAAACGAGACTTAACTTAACACCATAAGTAACACTAAAAGCAAACAAGCAGAACTAGTGTTCATTTGTTGCAAACATATAAAGAAAGCTTCTTTACCTGCCAACATTTGGATCAAATCCAATCACATAATAGGTGAGAAATACCCAAACAGCAGCTTCTGCAAATGTAATAGGGATCTTGAGGATCCATGAGGGAATGGCATATGCCCATGAAGGAAAAAATAAAAGGTCTCGTTGCTTGTAGAAAACAGGAAGCTTTACGATGGTCATTGAATGCTCAGCCATTCCATTAAACATGAGCATTATTACTGAGAAAAATAGAGCACCAGCATAAACACCTCCATCATTCAAGGAATCCCGGTGCATCTCAGTTCGTAGAAAGAGTGTCATTGACAATATTGCCATTGTAGCAAGCTAAAAAGCATTGAGAGAAAAATCAAAAGTCAAAACCATGTATGCCAAACAATTATAAGTTCAAAAGCATTTATTTATATAAAGCAGCTAGAAACCCACTTGGAATAGCTTGAAGATGTAAACGAATGAATTCCTTTTCATAAGCAAATACTCTCTTGAGAAGTTAGCCTTTAGTAGCTCCTTCTTGTTAACACCATACTTTTTTGTGGTTAATGCAGCTGGGTGGTTCTTAGTCTTGTCAAATGGAATTGCAAGCTCATCTCCAATTGCCATTCCAATGTGGAATGATTGAAATGCCTCGGCAAATTGAGTTACAGTTACAAACCTGTATGGTTCATCTCTGCGCATCCAATACTGTTCTTGATCCTTTCTTGAAGTTACCTATTGGAAGATTAAGATTGTATCATATATTTACATAACCTGCATCAAAAATATCAAATGAGGGAAACATGAGATAAACTTTGGCTTACTTCTTGAAGGAAGTCAGCAACACCTTTCCTCTCAGGACACTTAAAACCCATAGATTCAAAAAAGTCAAGAACATGTTCACGGGGTCCTTGGTAGACAATTTCACCATCAGAGATAAGAATAATATCATCAAAAAGCTCGTAAGTCTCCGGTGCTGGCTGGAGCAGAGAGATAACTGCGGTTCCATTAAAAATGTGAACATATTGCCTAAGAGATTTCACAATTTGAAAAGTTGTCGAACTGTCCAAGCCAGTAGATATTTCATCCATGAATAGAGCATTTTCTGGTCCAACCAGCATCTCCCCTGTAGTAACTCGCTTCCTTTGTCCTCCAGAGATACCACGCAGCATTTCATCCCCTACCATAGTATCAGCACATATATCCAACCCCAAAATCTGCAAAATTTTGAAGTAAATATCTTTCGGCTTCACTACATAGACAATCTTAGAAAACTGTAAAGCATGAGAGAACCTTATTCTTTTATTACCTTCAGTACATAATCTGTTACCAGGCTTGCCTCTTGGCCTTCAGCTGCAATTGCCTGGTATATATATCAGATGCAAAGACATTATATCCAAAACTAAAGAAATAGCTTATTTTAGTGCAATGAAGATTGATAATATCTACTCAAAAAAAAAAAAAAGATTAATAGTAGCTTCTGTATCACCTTCATGAAGACATCAATATCTGAGTTTGGCTTAATATTAGCTTCTTTTTCTCTTCTAGACAACTCAGATAGCATGTCTGTGGATCACAGAAAATTATTAAACAGTTAGACTAAAGTTAGACCCCGAATATGATATGAAGAAATTACCATCATGAAAAAAAGAAGGCAAGGATTGGAATAAATAATGGCTAACCATAACGTGATCCAACTCCTTGGCACCTTGCTGAGAAAGCCAAGGTTTCCCTTACGGTCATTTCTCCAATATGAACATCATGCTGGCTAATATATGCAGCAGTTCTCTGAGGTACAAACTCATCCATTCCATGCCCGTTATAAGTCACACTCCCAGACACCTGGAGGACACAAGGGCATCCA